GCATAATTTGATCAAATATGTAAAACATGTCCGTAGCACGTTAAACTGTGGTGCCATTGTATTAATATACAATTATTTGCTCAAAAGTTGCCCTTTTTTTTCCAATTTGCGTTTGAATATCTACATTTATTCTCATTCTTCTGTTTAATGGAATGCACAAACACAGCAGCGTGCCATCAAAGATGGCGTCTCCGAGGAGGTCATGTGACATTCATTGGTCTGTGGGAACTATGTATAGGGGTGGGAACCTAAGGGTACCTCACGATACGATACGATACACAATACAAAGCTCACGATAACGATAATATCACGATAACGATATTACGATATCGATTTTATCACGATATGACGATTATTGATATATTGGTCAGAAATATACAATATGCCAATTTATGGCATAAATAAAAGAAAAAATACTCTATTTCATGATAAATGGAATGGAGATGCGTAATGTAGCCATATATTAAGTATTGATACCAATTCAAAAAAAAAAAAAAAAAAGTTTAAAAAAGAAAATTGATATCGATACTTGGCAAATGCATATCAATAATCGAATCGCGGGAGAAAGTATCGCGATATATCGAAAAATCGATATATCGTCACACTTCTAGTGGCATATATAAATAACATTATCGGAGTCACTGCGGATGAACTACAATATTCAACTAGACAAAACGATCAGACCACTCTTTTCTCCGTGAAGTTTTCTATAGAGTGCAGTTTAGTGAAATGTTGTCCTCTGCATTTGACCCGTCCTGTAATGCCACAAGGTCCTCGGTCAGGAGCAGTGGTGCTTCAGTATACAGTGCTCGGGGCCCATCTCCTGTAAATTGTAAAGCACTTGTTTAAGGTGATCGATTTCACAGTGTCTATTGTTGGTTTTAATCCTGTACTTTTAATTTTGTTTTATATATGTACCTGTGCACTCTGGGGACTTCTGCAAATGGCAATTAAAAAGAATCTGAATCTTGGATGCTCAGCTTGTTTAGGAGGACTACCAGAGCCGGAGAATATTGCCTACTTTTTTAGTGGTTTGAGAATATCTAAGCAGACACAGAGAGAACAGGCAAACTCCACACAGAAACGTCCAGTTCTGACAGGGATTCCAAACCAGGACCTTCTCCCTATAGAAGTGAGAGCGCTAACCACCCTAGCAATGATGAAAATAGCTCAGCAGCGTCAAAATACCGATAGCAATGTAAGGCAGTTTCTCATACGCACCCATGTGTCTGCACTGGAACATCAGTCGTGGGTTTTGCTGTTATTTTTGCTCATTAAATTTCAATTGTGCCAGGCTCGTTTTTTGATTCTCTTTACTCGTTCATATGAATGTGGGGAGTTACAATTCAACTCAAAATACAATACAAACAGTCTTTTGAAAGGTCCTAAACAAATCTGCATTCCAGGATACTGAAAACCCACAATATGAATATACTCTATGCTAATTTAAAAGAATAGCCACTCCAAACTGACTTCAATCACTTTGGCAATGCCTAGTTTCCGCTTGTGTATTTGTGCTCCGAATAGCTTTACCTCAATGTCACTTTGAGTCTTTATCTCCGTCTATCTGCCTGCTTATCTTCTATTTCTCATTATCCGTTTCAGAGCGAGCTTGACTCCGGTGAGGGAGATAGATCTAATTGGGGGCCTGGACGATTCTAAATTTGCAAGTGTGCCGACTTCTCCCATGCTTTCTCTGCGCTTTTTCTCAGTCTTCTTTCACTTGATAATGATAATAAGAATACTGAGAAAATATCAGTCCAAGAAGTTTGCTTGTTACACCGCTCACATTCACCCAGTCAATTTGCCCGCTTGTCTGAGTCAGGAAGAGAGGCTTATCCGCTCCACCACCCCGTCCGTCTCCAAATCGGCTCGTGTTAGCATACAAATCAAACGCCCCTCTTATACCTCACTGGATGCCCCTCAGCTCTCATTTGCTGTCAGCACACAGACCCCCACTCCGAACAGAGGCACGGGAGAGCCAGGGTTATTATTTAATGAGATGAAGAAGTGTGAGAAGCGTGGTGTTTACTGTCACAAAGCAAAGAGGGGGTCTCTCCCTGCAGACCGCCGGCAGCAACCTAACAACCAGGCGCGTTGACAGGGGCCGCGGACTCAGATTTAGAATGACAATATTCAAGCAGCCTAACACAACATGTTAATCCCTCAAAAAAAAGGTTCGGTGATGTTCCTAGTGACTAGTTTTTATGAAGCTTGTTTGGTTTCTCTGTATTTCCTTTTATTGAATATATTGAAACAAAACATTAAGTTGGGGTGTTATTTGACTATGAATGTGTCTATCCTTCAGATTGAGTTTACTACACATGCATGGAAAGGCTGCTCGGGAAAAAGTGGGGGTTTAAAGTATGGATACCTAACTTATTTTCAAATCAAACCACCACATATTCTTAGACCAAAAATAAATAAATAATTACTTATCTTATTCACCGAGAGCTTTTTGGTTGAGGGGCGTGGTCCTCTCTTTGTCACTGAAAAAGCCGGTCTCAAGATGTGACAAAGGCCGAAAATACATCCATGTGACTAGTTTGAGAATCATACAATTTTGAAATACACTAATTTGTGGGTTAATTGTATATTTTTTGCATGTATTTTTACACTTTACACTGCACATCAGTTCCACACAGCTGAACAAACACGTACATGCTCCTGCTCCTGAGACGGGTTTGTCTGTTTAAATAAAAAAGTGTCTATACAAAAAAGATGTGATGAGATTCAGACACCAAACTTTCTTAATAAACTATTGCTCATATGTGTGTTGAATAAAGAAGGTTTTAAAACTACACAAAAACCATAGAGCAAATACAAAGAGCTGTTTTTAGTTCAATGGAGTCCCTTCTTACTAGGAGAGTACTTAGCTTACTTTATCAATTTGTCCTTGGAAAAGTATCTTGTATAGTATTTATTATTCCCCTCTTGTACAATTTATGTAAGTCTGTTTTCAATACAACATTTTGCTAAATTATTCATTGTTAATAACTCAATACAGAACTCTTTACACTCTTTACACCAAATTTGAACAAATACCACATATTAGAATCTACAGTAGATGACATCACTTTTACCGACCGCAACAATGACTTCTGATTTCACTCTCCTGCTGTAGCCTTCCTTTGGGTTTGAGCTATCATTTCCAACTTTGTTTTTTTGAAATTCTTCTCCAACATAAATTAAGTCTGGAGTGCAAAGAAGGAAACCGGAATATGTTCGTTAGGAAGTCAAACCTCAAAAGAACCTGACAGGAAGGAGTGAGCCGCCTGAAATGTGTCATAAGATGAAGCGACGTGGGAAAGGCTTTTGATCAGAAGCGCTCTTCGTACCACCGCTGTCTCTTAACATCTATAATATATCTGAGCTCACATTGCAGGCTCTTATTAAGAAACCAGTGCCATTCTCCCCCTAGTGTGGCATCAAACCTGCATAAAACAGCACACTGCGACATTTAATAGATTCACTCCCCCCGATCATTGAGATTCATGGCGGTTTGGTCGAACAAAAGCTGCTTTAATATTGGACATGGGTAAATATTTATTTTAAAGTGACGGGTCTTAGGAAATGAAAAGGCTGCCAGCACTGTGCTCTCACTGAAGCGTACATCTGGCTGTGACTGTCATAAATATGGATCATGCACCAACAAGGCACAGATTTAATCTCACGGCTGTCTTTTGTGGAGAATATGAAATCTAAGAAAGGGCATCTTCAGATGAGTTACACCCCATCCGCTCGTGGTGTGAGACAAATTGGATTTTCCAGATTTAAAAAAAGAAATTAATATGAGAGCATTATTATTGCATTTGGCAATAGTGCAAATACTAAGCCAACTGTTGGCAACAAGTAAAAGGAAACCTAAAGGGAGAATTATGGCTTGGTTCAAGGGCCTTTCCACTTGAACATAACTGCACATACTGTTCTTTTCATGTTTCTAGCAAAAATCTACTATTTTTCCGGCACCAGGTTTTTGGCGATTTATGTTTGCCTGAAATGTCACTCAGTTTGGTTTAAAACATGTACATTCCTCACTGATGGATAATCTTGCATTGAGAAATTGTTTTTTAAGATTCCTCTCTCCTAACCCTAACCCATAGAACTGCTGTGGTTCCAGTGCTTCAGGTTTTGTTGGGTTTCTGCTGTGGGGGTCTGTTAGTAGAGAAGACTTTCTAGAGACCACTGTGATGGAAAGTAAAGGCACCAGACTGACCACTCATAAAGCCGTTGGGTCTCTTTTAATTTATTTTTTCCACACCCTTTTAAGCTGAAATATTTATTTTATGGAACTATAACTTTGACTTTAACACAATCGTTAAACGCAAAATTTGGCTAATTACATGTGTAAACCAACTTGTCCATGCTGTTTTGTTAAATATTGAGATATTCGAGTAACACAAGCTTCTATGTTGTTTGGATGTTGAATGTGGGATGTTTTGTGTTTTGTGTATTTCTTCACTAAACCTGACTCTCCAGGCGGTCTCTCTTTTGGCTGTTTACTGCTCTTCCCGACCATGCAGTAACAGTGGTAATACATGGGCTCACTCCCGCTGAGAACAACCCACAGTATCAGTTTAAGTAACAAGTGCCATGCGGTTTAATTACATTGGATACTGAGTCCTGAGGGCGGCTGGCACTTCCTCCTTTATTCAGCTCCACAGCTCATTTGCAAAAGGTAAATATTCAGGAGGCCGCCTTTGCGACGTGCCGATTAAAGCGTACACCGGCGTAGTAATTTCACAATGTGCCCAGAATGCAAAAGCCATAAATGGAATTGAAAAGGAAATTTGTTTGTGAGAGGCGACAAGTGTGAAAGGCCGTTCTCATCCAAAGGTGGCCAAGTAGTGCTCGAGAAGCCTGAATAACTGCTCGGCTTTGAAACGTGGCGCGGCTGTCACTTAAATGGGGATCCTGTCAATGGTGATGCACTCCAGAGTACAGTACAGACCCACTTGACAGATGTAATCACAGCTTTTTTTCTCTTTTCTTTTTCACAGCTTTCAAAGACCCATGCTCTGAAGTGGTCTGCAGCTATGGCAGCACCTGTATCCAGTCCTCAGACGGTATGTCGGCCAAGTGCATGTGTCCTCTGGGCTGCGAGGGCAAAGCGGAGAAGCCCGTGTGTGGCAGCGATGGGAAAGACTACAGGAACGAGTGTGAGCTGCACCAGCATGCCTGCAAGATCCAGAGGAATATCCGGCTGCAGTACCAGGGGTTGTGTGGTAAGAGCACACATACTGAGACTGAAACTTAAACAGATCACACACGTTTTTGTTATTTATTCAATTAAAACACAGCAAAAAAACAGAATACACAAGAAACATAGATTGGGAGATGCAGGTGTTAATTTGGTTTTAAAACACACACACACACACACACATACACACACACACACACACACATATATGTATAGATAGATATATATGTATAGATATATACAGCCCCAAACAAGTAAGCTTGTAAGTAGGTAGTGTGTTTAATTATATAGAGTGCCATGCATGGACCAGGGTCACTATTAGCATGAGATTAGCTATAAACAAAAAATACAGTATGTAAAAGAGGACATATAATGACACTAAACATAAATAAAACAAAGAACTTTCTCAAGGGAATGAAGATTGAAATCTCCAACTTGCTTTCATTCCTTTGAGAAAGTTCTCTGAACGAAATGTCGGGAAAACTTGCAGACTGAGAGCTTAGACCAACTAAACATAAATACTAAATACTTACAACAGAATCCATAAATCATAAAATAACCACTGAAAATTGCTGAAATAATAGATTTCAGAGTAACGATAACAAATAATAGATTTAAGAGTATCCACATTAATGACGGTAGCCTCTTCGTAGTCATTGCACATTCTTTTCACGCCTATGTTTGTGTATTTTCCTTTCAAAGTGTCCATTTTAGCATCGCACTAATTCCCTCCCTTCATTCAGACTGCACCTCCTCCTGCTGCAGGGACTGCTTTTTTTCTTCTAAGTAGGTCTGTCGGTGTTGTGTCTGACGGAGAGCAGCCTTTTTGTTGGTCTCCTTGTTATCGTCAGACAAGTGTTGTTTACTCCCAAGGCGCGCGACTGAGATCTGGGTGTTTGTTGTTGGTAGAACCATATGGACGGGCTCTTAGCAGCAGGAGCCAGAAGCGGGCGGAGGCGAACGTGGATGGATGAGCGGTCCCACAGTGGAAGGCTGCTGGTATAAATCCAGTCAGAGTGAGCCAAAGTGACCCGAGTTGGCCCCTTACTTCCCAAGAGGCTTCGGAGCCCGGGGGACCAGTCAGCCCTGATGGCCCTCTAAATCTTCCACTGCCATTTCTGCCAGGGCCCAGGCCGTCTGGAGTCAAACAAATGCGACTGATTTATCCGCCCCGTTCGTCTCTGTAGCTCGCAGCCTATTCTTTCAGTAATTATCCTGTTCTCTCTGATAGGGAGAGCTGTAGAGGTATGGCTTTGGGATGATATTCAGTGGTAATTCAGGGATAATGGTGTTTAGAGGAAAGATACGAAACGGCTTGAGAACAAAAACAAAATTATATGCTATTAAATGCACAAAAAACATCTATATTTACCTTTAGAGGGAGAGGGAAAACGATTGCATTTCTAACAGATCAAATTATGGTTGCCCAAGAAACGTATAATTACATTATTACATGTTTTTAGTGGTCGGGAAAACCGGAGCACCCAGAGGAAAATCACGCCAGCCAGCCAAGAACCTTTGGAGACGCACTACTCCAAACTGGTTGCCCTAGTAAGAGCATTGAAAGATGGGTCCAATGCAGAGAACAAATTTCCCTGAGAGCACAATAAAGTATGCCTTAACTTTAACTCAACAGTGAAAGAGATAGTTTAGAAGTTTAGTCAAGCTGTTGGCGGCATTTTAGACGTTCTGGCTGCCGCAGAGTTTTGCTATTCCCTGTATGAATAATGATCGTGCCATATTTCTGTTGGTCCAGCCCTAGTGAGCCTCTGCATTGTGTTGATAGAAAAAAAAGTGTTGATCTGGCTAGAGCTAGGCACACTTTGTCTGCCCTACTCCTCCACCAGAACCCTCTTTCTGTTTGGGTTTCTCTTTGTAGCACTTCCAGAGGTCTTTTCTTCTCCCCCCCCCACCTCTGCCCTTGATCATCACTCGTTCTGTTCTTGTGTTTTGAATAAATCGCCGGTAGCTGGGCTGAGATTTAATGTGGAGGTGCAACAATAATCCCTAGTCTTGCCACACGCCGACAGCACTGCGAGTGAGGATAAGGCCCAGAAGTAACACCCCATCCCGCATATCCAGAAACCAATTCTATTATGATCCCGCGCTGATATGGAGAAGTGTGCCAGACAGCTGCTATGTCTAGGAATAGGGATGTGCCAGGGAGTAAATCAAACACACCCCCTTTTCATCTATTTCATGTCTGACCCTGGAATTCCGGGTCCCGTGTGAGAAGCACAGCTGCTGGTCAGAAGATAAGATTGGACAAGAGCGACAATAAAGCATTATTATATTATACACACTTTATTTGTGTTTCCTCTGTTTTAACTTTGCAAGTTTATTCCACCCAAAAGCATAAACTTTGAAGAGTTTTCTCCAAAAACCTGAGCGTGCTTTGAATGAGAATGTTGCCAGTATCAAGGCTGGCACATGCTTTATCCTGTTCTATAAGCCAAATTGTCATGCTTTTAAGATGAAGCACTATTTTGGAATTTGGATCTCCAACTTTTTAAAATTGCATTCCCCCTTTTCTCTAGAGACTAATTAAGGTTTAGTTCATATTCCCTACATTGTCCTATTTAAATACAAGATAGTCATGGGGGTTTGAGCTATTTAGAAATAACCCAAAATGCAAGTTATCTTAGGCTTGTCTTTCCTCTCTATTATTGGTCTCTTGTGCCGTTAGAAACTAAAGTGTTTGTCTTTGCTTTCATAGACCCATGTGCCGAGAGCGAGAACGGAGAGAACAGCCTGAATAGCCGGTGTCGTGTGGACAGCCTGACCCGGCAGCCCCTCCTCTACAGCCTCCCAGAGTCCTGTCCGCCCGAATCAGAGCCACTGTGCGGCAGTGACGGAGAAACCTACCTCAGCGAGTGCGCCATGTACGCAACCAGACTGCAGAAGGGCGTCAAGATCACCAAGGTCCACTCCGGGCGCTGCCGGAAACACGGTAACTCTTCATGAACATTCAAACAATATGTTTAAAGTAGCAATATGTAAGATCTTCATTTCAAGTCCTCATTAAATGGCAATAATAGTTCAGCCAAGATTTTTGAATTTCAAAATTTGTTTTACAGTCCCTAAATGTTGTTGTTGTTTTCATTTCGATGTCCCGCCCTCCACCGTTTAACAATCAGAAAGTGTGTGATCCGGGTTGTCAGAATTCACTGCGTTGAGCTAATCTCACTGGTAATCTCATGTGGCCGGAGAACTAAAAAGATCTCATTATGATTCTCAAATCATTAATGACAAAACAAGGAATAAAACAAGGATTTATATCAAGGACTATATATCAAGGTTATAAGGGGCGACAGTAGCTCAGTTGGTAGAGCATTGGCCTTAAGCCCAGAAGGTTGTGGGTTCAATTCCCACCTCTGCACCTTCTCCACCGACTCCCACTGATGACTGCTGTCGTTGTGTCCATGGGCAAGACACTTAACCCCACTTTGCCCAAAGCCCCCACTGAAAGATCAAGGCTATGCTCACACTCAGAGAGCAGCCGTCCTCCTGTGGACTCACCACCTGCAGAGGGTCAGTGAGGGGCTGGTGCTATGAGACTTGGGTGGCATCTCTGACTGCCACCCCCCTGACCCAGAAATGGATTAAAGGGTAGAAAATGGATGGATGGATGGACTTTGTGGTTATAGATTTGTTGTTGACAAAACTCTCTATTCAATTTTTATTGTTCATTTTCAAAGAGGTTGAAAATGAATGAAAGAATTGTTCCAGCTGGAATCGTCTGCATATCTGGCAACCTGAGTAGTAGTAAGTAGTAAGTAGTAGTAATCTTTATTTATATACCGCCTTTTCACTGCAGATCTGAGTCTCAAAGCGGTTTACAATTGTTAATTATGGGCATTTGTCCTCTCACTCCACACAGAGATGGGAGCGGGGTCGCCAGTACAGGAGGCGCATGCCAGAACTATTGGACATATTTTTTTAGTGGTAGGGGAAACCGGAGCACCCGGAGGAAACCTACGCAGACACGGGGAGAACATGCAAACTCCACTCAGAAAGGCCCCGGTCCGACCGGGATTCGAACCCAGGACCTTCTTGCTGAGAGGCGAGAGTGCTATCCACTCAGCCACCGTGCCGCCAGGAGAGTGGGAGAGGTTGCAGTACAATACAATACAATTACAATTACACAATCACAACATAAGTCATCTCAGAGGACTTAACAAAACCATTGAAATCACCAACACCGATCAGAGAATCAACAGTTAAAACACATAAATAATATAAAACACATGTTGATAAATGTTGTAGAATGTTAAAGTTTCCTGGATCATCACCACAGTCCTTTTTGTTAGACACTAACTGTCCAACAGACCCTCCTGCATTGGCAAGGAAAACCTCATAAGAAAAACCCAGTGGGAATTTAAGCATAAGCAGTACCACTTTTGGCCAGATTTGTACATACTGCTCAAGAGAGCTTTCACAATTGATCCAATTGAACTGGACAGTTTCTGTTATAGTTTGAAAATAGAAAACGTGTGTTTTTGAGAAAATTTGACTTCACTTTTCAGTTCAGTTTATTACAAATACAAAATAAAAGCATGTAACATCCATTCATAATCATTGACATTTCATATTTGCAAATGGGACACGCTTGAAGTTTTGCCCGAGACAAACTGAATTGAACTGAACTGAAGTTGTCGAGATATGGCCCAGGCTAAAATCTAAATTTCTGCCTGGGCCAAGCACAACTGTAATGAACAAACTTTTTTGCATATTTTTGGTGAAACCTGATCACAGACATAGTGGAACTCACTTATTCATTATTTCACCAAAAGCAGTTAGTTACCTGTAAGTCTGTGACTAACGAGGTCAGCACAACCAGCCATTCATCATAGAAAAACAATACACTGTATTATTCATATTATATTAGAAATCATGTCGCTTTTGTTTTGCTCTGACTTTTTGGTTGAAAGTGAATTGGTGGGGACCAGCGAATAAACAAAAATTCAATCCTGTGATGCTCCAAACTGATTGCTCTTCCTGCGGCGTTTGTCCAGCCACTGGGAAATAAAGCCGTTTTCATTGAAACAGTAATTACACGTTCAGCTCACATGTTTGTTGTCAACATGAGCAGAGTCCAGAAAACCTGTCAAGCCAACGCAAAGTGGTGTTTCATCAAAATGGAGAAATTGGACGTGTGACTTATTGTGACGTGTGACAAGGCAACTCAAAGTATGTCACAATGGATATTAAAGTTATACATAATCACGGGATATTAAACACAGACTAAAAAATATAATCCTTCAATTGTGTGTACAGAACTGTTTTAACCTGAAATCTAACATTGTCAGAGTAGAAGTCTATTCTCAGAGCCACAGAAGCCAGTGCAGAGACTTATGTTATCCTTCCTCCTGGTTCTCTTCAGGACTCAAACTGCAGCATTTTGAGTTGAATATACAGTTTAGCTTGTTTAATGTTGGACAACTTTCAGTCCAGAGATACATTCAAATCTTTAACTTTTACTTTTGTACATTATGACTCCATTAAGAAACACCCTTTGGAAAATGAAAAGAATAAGACAGTGGTTATGCGAAATGGCAAATTTGCAGCCAAAGGGGAGAAAATCCAATTTGAAGCTCCATTCTTCAAGACTCGTCATGCTTTGGATGTATTTTACTCCTGATCACTGGATCAAATTTGGACAGAAATTAATTCTCCTCTCATCTTTAAATGAATGTAGTGCCATGCTTAATTACATCAGGACTGTATGCGAGTGAGAGGCCTTTGAGGATGTGCGATGTCATGGTACAAGTCAGAATAGGCCTTTCCATTAACTCGCAATTTGTCATTTGCTTTGGGATGTGATTTCATGGATCTCTGTTTCAAACGAAATGAATCCCAATTGTGGAAAGAAATGTGACTCTTTTAAACTGGCCCATACATTCACAAACTTGGAGTAAGTTCAAAGCAACGCTCAAGGCAACTTTAAAATGAAATATATTTAACTTCTGTCTTCAAGTACAAAGATTTTTGTACATTGGGCAAAAAAAAGATTAGAAAACATTTGTCACTCACCATCAGTGATAGAACCAAACAGTTTTGAGAGCAAGAACACAGATTTTATAGTTATTTCGTGGTTTCATTAGGTACTCCGGCTTGTTTTTTATTTGTATTAAGTTTTATATTAGTCTTATTGATTCATTAAAGCCTGGATATCTTAAATCAACCCACTTGCATCCTTATGCTAGGGAGGTAGAAGTGTCTCCATGGTAATTTTTGGAAAGACAACTTGTTGAGGACTGGTCAAGCTGTGTCGTCAAGGGTGATGGCCCTCTGACATACGGAACAGTACGCAGCAGGGAAATTGGATTTCCTCCGATGGTAATCACTCGTACAGTTTCAGCTGACAGCTCCTTGTTGACCAAGGCTTAGAGGCTGTTCTAATAGCACAGATAACAGGCTCGCTTATCGGCTCAAGAGGCGACTGCGTTCACAGACCGTACTCTTTTATCCCTGCACTCTTTACTCTTACACTGCATATATCTGTAACATTCGAACCATGTGTCGCAGTCTCCCACAGGATCCGTTTTACCCATTAGTCGAACATACACCCCATATAACATTAAGATTACTTAAACTTTAATTATTTCTTTAGTCTTTCAACCTTCATGGTATTTAGAGTTCAGCACTGCAGTTGAATCAACAAAAGAGAGAAGATCCAGCTGTAGTTTATTTAATAATAATAATTAATAATAATACATCAAACTTGCGTAGCACATGGACACTTCACATGGGGAATAAAATCAGAAAGGGGATTTACGGAAAAGCTTGGTTGAATAGATGGGTTTTGATTACTGCTTTAGAATTTGGTATGTACCAAAATGCAACAACTCAAGATACTTTAGCCTTGACTGAAATGACTATAACCAGTATTAAAGTCCAGTTGAACAAGTCACAAGAGGAGGTGCCATTCACCTGTTTTCTTATACGGAATACTTTTTCTGGTATTGTGTATAACCGTGTGTAAGTCCCTTACCCTGCTGTGTCTGTGTCCTGGACTCAGTGCTGGTCACTCAAGTGTCCATCTGCCTCAAATGCTGCTGTTTTGCTCTATGTCTGTAGAGTGAGTGGAATCAGGGCCTAAACCTCACACCTGCATGCAGAGTTTAGCACTTGCATTGACAATACAGTTAACCCCTTATTGTTAATGACTGTATAAAATGTAATTTAAAAATGTTTACCATAAGGACTTTATAAGCACTTACACGTAACACTTCTCATATTCTCAAAGTAGTAAGTAGATAAGTAATATTTAATTATATGGCACATTACTACAGACCAAGGTCACCCAAAGCGTTTTACAAAGTTCAGAGTTCAGAAATATTTTTCCATTTTCTCCACACGTTGATGACGGAAGCGAGACGCCGAACACACTGACGCATGAAAGCCCCAACCAACACCATTCATTCACTCACTCTTTACATTCATACCTAGTGTGCATGTTTTAGTGTTAGGGGAAACCGCAGCACCCGGAAGAACCCTACGCAGACACAGGGAGAACATGCAAACTCCACTTAGAAAGGTCCTCTTCCGACCGGGATTCGAACCCAGGACCTTCTTGCTAAGAAGCGAAAGTGCTAACCACTCAGCCGCATTTCTGGTTTCTCATAATAACCAAAAGCTCAATAATTAGACTAAAAACGACTCAACTATATGGGGGGAACAAAAATGGATGGGCTCTTTAAAAAGGGACCATTTTTTTTGTATATTTCACTTTCGACATTTATGGACTTTATCTACATTTATAGACATTGGTTATCCACCCCTTATGTGTTTTTTAAAATATTGCATTTCATGTGTTTAAACAGTTTGATTCTCTGTGTTGGCGAGTCCTCTGAGATCACCACTGTTGTGAATTAGAGCAATACAAAACAAAATTGAATTTAACTGATTGGAATTAATTACCATCCCTTTCCTTGTGTCTTGCAGAGATGTGTAAAGAGGAGTGCCTGTTCAACGGCGTCTGCGTGGTGGAGCAGCTGACGGCACGCTGCTCCTGCGACCCCATCGAGTGCGACGGCAGCTACGAGCCCACCTGCGGCAAGGACGGACACACCTACATCAACGACTGTGTGAGGCGCAAGGCCGAGTGTCTGAGCAGGAGCCTCATCCCGGTCAAACACAAGGGGGCATGTGGTGAGTGTGTGCACCTGAGACCACGCCGGCTGACCAACACCGGCTGACCCCTGTGTCCACACTGTGTTTTGTAACGTGAAGGTGCTTTGCTTAACGACGACCGTGCCACCACCTCTCATCCATGCTTCATCCTTTCATCTCACGTCTCATCTACCCACGCTGGTGCACAAGTCACCCCGCCAGCTGGTCCTCTTGTTTTTCTTGTCTGTCTCTATGGCCCTTTTTACACTGATGGTCATCTGAACAGTAGGAAAAAAACCTCCTTGTAGACACTAGAAAGATACTGCAAATTTTGAGGGACAAGTCTCATTTGATGATCTTTTGGTTATAATACAAAACCTATATCATCATTTATACCTGTTTCGCAAATGGGTATTGACCTTTTTTATCATGGGTTGTATTTCAGAGCCAACATTCCATTTAGATACCAGTGTAAAAGGGGTCCTTGTCTTTGTGTGTTCCGGTTTATAAAGCTCTTCTTTCTTGTTTCAGTGCGTCAGTCTCTGTTGTCTGTCTGTCTATGTGCGTCCGGCTCTGGGCTCTGCAGCAGGTAACCTCAGGGCATCCTCCACATGTTGATGAGCCGTGGACCAATCAGGGGCGAGCCTGTGCTGCTCTGTCTGTCACAAACGTCCCTCTGTGTTATACTGTTGTTTGTGTCAGGTTTTAAATTTACCTTGTCTTTCCTCCTTACTAAATGTCCTTTCCTCTCACACTCTAACCATTGTGTGTGCATGTGCTCCTGACCACACTGCGTCTTCAACATGAAAGAGCTTGTGCTAATATAAGTACATTGAATCAGAATGTCAGGGAGAATATACAAGACCACTGCTGTTTTCATGTCATCATACAGTCTGGAGAACTTGACTTCAGCTTGTTGTGCCCTAATATTGAGGTATCGATTCTTTTGGACAACCTTATATAACACAAATCACACAATACATAGCCCCACACGTTTGTCTAAATTAAATCAGATACAATAAGTCGTCCGATGTAAAGTAGAGTTTTCACCGTTTCTAGCTAAAGCCCAGCAGATGGATTGAAGGTTAAAGCATCAAATTATGTTCGTAAGGACTTTATTAGACTGCTAAGAGTACGTATGACATTCCTTCCCTTAATGAAAGAAGCACAACACTGTACATGTGTGTTTAGCAGTTAGAATGGTTATGGATCTTGAAGAAAAAGATTTACTACCCATTTCCCGACACTTGTATTTACTCACCAGTGCACTATTGTCAATGATCTACACATTCAAGTATACTACACACATTAAATATTATTTTTTATTTTACGAAGTGGCTCGAGATCAAGATTGACAAAGTTTCTGAAAATATTCTTTGCCAAACCAGTTTTACTTTGTTTTAAACGGATAAAACATCAGAAAACACAAACATTTGAGCCACCACGCACAAACGGCCCTTGCAGACTTCCCTCACGGCTCGATAAAGCTGTTGTAACCTTCTGATGACTCTTTTGTTTTCCGAAACCCCATCAGCGCAGAAAAGAGAATACAGCCCTTTAATTGTGTCCAGTCCATTGTCTTTGCTGCTGGTGCCAGATGCAGATAAACCCCGATAGATGCGTTGATGCTGCGGGTGTCTGAAGATCCCAGTGGCTCCGGTTATCTCGTCTCGTCACAAACCACCAGGGCTCATTTGCATCAATGGGCTGCGCATTAATTACCAAGTCACAAACGGGAGCTTGCTTGGGCGCTTATGTGTTTTGCTGCGTTTCAATATTTGCACCGCCCCAATCCCTCCCTCGCCAGTTTGTCTAGTTCTTTGACTGGCGTTGTCTTTATCCGTCCCTGGCTCATCGCAGTTGCCTCTGCTTGCATGTTCCTTTAATGTCTTTTATTGACATTTGCATATTTTTCAAAACAGACCAGCATCCCCTCGGTTCATTTTTAATTAAACATCAAACGGCGAGTGTAGGTTCCCCTTAGAGACATATGTGAGCACGCCTTTTCGTTTCAATACACATACAGTATAAGGCCCAGCTATGTTCTTTGACTTTCTCTCTTGGTTTTATGCGCTTTGAAGCTTATGCAAAGATTAGAAGCCGGGTATTTTCGGTGATAGAGCTGGCCACGGACTTCAGACGACTGTCACCAATCAATCCAAAAAATTATAAAAATTAAATGCAGATAGGATTTTCAATATCGGAGCTGCCTGTAATGTAATGTAGAAAGTCCACTTTGTGCTAATTTAAATATATGGAAATCGTTTTGTAGTATTCTGTTTGGATAATCCCAGCCTATCATTTGGATGTTTAATTCATAAATTAAAGGCAAAACATAATTTTGCTTCCAGTAATATATACTGTATTTTTTCACATTCTTATAAACATGCACAACGATATCAATCAATGTCATACAAGTAGTGTTATGAAAGGAGTCTTTGCTGAGCTATCAAAGCACGATAAATAAAAAAATACTTCAAAAAATATACATTCAAGTATTGCATAGAGTTTCTTTTGAATATATACTGTAGATTTATTAGTTATTTGACACAGCGCAGGCACAGTTACTTTGAAATGACATGTTTTTCTCTTTTGTGCGTGAACCACACGTGCACATCGGCCATACAGCGCACATATTGCTGATCCATGCTGTTTGCCGCCACTGATCTCACACAAGATAAAGATGAGAGAACATCCCCTTTGTCGGCTCCCGGAACCCAGAGGCAAAGCTTCAAAGATAGGAAGAAGAATTGACAACATTTGTTTTAAAATGATAATGTTATTGTAACCCAAGTTCTTCATTTTCGTTGTTGCATTATTACGTTATAGAATAATAATAATAATAGGTATGCTTTTCCTGGCTTGAATATGAGAAATTGTGCCAAGGACAAATTTGCCTGAAATCACATGGCTCATTTTATAGTACAGTTTTACTATTGTGATTTAATATTACATTCTGTTGCCAGCAGATGTCTCTTTGCCAATCAAACCTACACAAATGCATAAGAAATTCATTGTTTTCAGTAAGTATTTGTTAAGTAAAACTATAACATATATTGTTCAATGCTCAATTTTCATTCTTAGTAAACTGTAATATTTCTATATAATAGAACCATCTTTCTAAGATAGAACTATGTAAGATGTAATTTTACATCTTAATTTTACAACAGAAAAAAGATGGGAGCAAAGAAGAGTTTAAAACTGGATGGATGAGGCATTTCTAAAACAACTATATTCATCTGTGTGTTGTAAATATTGTGTCTCTTTGTGGTTGACTGAGTTACATTGTACCTGCATTTTAAATGCTACTTAGGCTATTATTTTTAATAATTATTTGCACTCTATAAACTTGCTCTCAGTTCCTCCTCCTGAGGACTACGGAGGAAAATTCGCCATGTCCAGTTCGAGCAATACATTTATTGTGAAATTAATTGAGAAATGCTCCTGTCAAATAAATAAATGTCCAAATAAACTGCAATCTTACAAGGTGACGATATGGGGTAGATACAAAAAAAGAGAACAAAACATGACTACTGCACACCTGCCTTGGACATTTGAAAAGACCTTTACAGCTTTCTTTAATGTTTAGTCTCAGATTGGTTTGCCCAAGTTTGTCGTGACATAGAAATGGCTACTATTTTGTTGTGACTATAGCTCACACTAACCTCAGCACACAACACTGGACACATTAAATGAAGATGATCCCTATCGTCTGATTGGACAGTGGCAGTGATCGATCACTCTGTCATCTGTCCGACACGTCACATCCTTCTACTGCGGCCGCACCATCAATCTTCCTTGATTCTTGTGACAGGGTCTAAAGGAGCCCCTCTCTGTCACTGCGTGTCCCAACAAAGAGTCATCCTGTCTGCAACTGTCCTCCCCGTCAAACAATCAGAGTGATACATTCAGCGTTTTCAATTTGAAGAAGAAGCGAGCGTTTAGCTGATTAACTTATGTACTGGATGACTCACAAATCACAATGCATCCCACAGCATGCAAGCCTCTGTCTGGAAGTGAATCACCAAGGCACGATAGGAAAAATGTGAGACATGTCAGCAAAGAAAGACTAGTTTTTGTCATTTGCCATCTTCCAGCATCTGGATGTTTTAGCTGTTAGCTGTTACTCTAACTAACTAACATTTCTCACTTACAATAGGATGGTGTAACTAACACCTTCCTTGGTAAGGTATAAGGAGTCTATGAAATCCCTTCACTCAACTGCATAAGGAAACCATTATATATCTCGCACACAGGTTTGTCGAACATATGAAAAGAACAGAGACACATCTACACAAGTAGTATTCATTTATTATTATTTAAAATAGTTTAGTAGGTTAAAACATCAGCCACATCCTACCCCCATCATTACAAGTATTCAACATAACTAAAATATGGTACTATACATTTTATTAGAAGCTGGAACAAGCCCTGGTGATCCATGATGGCGCCCTATTCAAATCAATGGCTTGTGCTCAGTAGCACATGGGACATAACGGGCGTCTGGTCCTCCCGGTTCTGCGCAGTGGAAGAGCTCCCATGATGCATTGCACCAAATACGCGTGTGTGGCTCTAATGCACGTGCACAGAGGGGCTCGGCCGCGCTTTGACCAATCAGAGCTGCTGATCAGAGCAGCATTAGAGCGGCGCCAGAGCGGGAAGAAAAGGGCAGAGTTTGTTGTAGTAAAGTGTGGATTTAAAGAAAACCAAAGGGATTAAGAAGAAAAAAAAATCAGGATGACAAGGGACACTAAAATCCCCACAAAATCCGATCTTTATGAAAGCTGTAGGCTATCTGTCAGCTGAGGTCGAGTAGTTTTAGTTTACATTGAGTTCTATGGGGAAAATGTCTGTGTAGCCCACGTGAATTTAGTCTGCAGTACCACGGGCGCTCTCTGTGCCCATGGGTGGGACAGCTATAAGATGGTAATACCCTATCCAGTTATTATTGTAGATCCATGGGCTGGAAGAACCGTGGAGGCCAGCTTCACAGAAGGACTCCAACCTGTGACTAAAAAAATTGTAAACTACAGGTATAG